TAAGTAAGTTGGTTGCGTTAATAAAGTGTTTTATTTATTGATTGGTTGAGAGAAATAAAAATATTGATAGAAAATAAAACGTCAGTTCAAAGTTTAAAGTTGGTCATTGATAATTATCTTCCATTTGTTTTAATATCTCAGATACAAAACCAATAACAATGTTTATATTCACTTTTTTCTTATGTTTTCCTCATGTTTTATTTATATTTTTCTCATATTTCGCTTATGTTTTCCTTTTTTTTTTTTTTTTTTTTTTTATAAATTTGCATTAAAAGATAATGGGGCTTTCAGTATGTGCCAAAATATTTGTTTCAGCAAATGAGACCTGGTTTTCAAAATAAAACTATGTTTGCCGAAAACATATGGTTATGTAATGTTATTGTCGTTAATATCTAGCTTGGAGAAAATTACATTTTCTTGGAGCGTTGCAAATGTAATTTGGATGAACTGATTCAATTCTGTAAGGACAAAGAAGCATCAAAGCTTAACAACAAAGTTTTCTCTCTCAAATCTCTGGATATATTCTTAAACGAAGAAATGGGAGACAACCAATTATGGACTGGTTGCTACTATCTATCATCTTTCTTGGTCAAATTAATGAGATTAGATAGTTTTAATAGTACTCTCAACTATATTGTCAGGGCCATGAGATTTTTGTAGAAACAAACTTCTTAAACAATTTAGACTATTTGTTTTCGCGTATTTTAAAAGAGTTGACACTACTGATTTCACATGTTAGATCTTATAGAGATGAGATGTGTCTTATTGACTAAACTCATGATTTCACCCGTTAAATCTTGGAGTTGTGGCTTATTGACTAAGCTCTTGATTTCACTCGTGGGATCTTACACATATGTACGACTTATTGACTAAGCTCATGATTTCACCCGTTAAATCTTAGAGTTGTGGCTTCTTGACTAAACTCTTGACTACACCCATTTTAGATCTTACAGAATTGTGGCTTATTGACTAAGGTTCGGATTTCGCTTGTTGGATTTACTATTTTCCACAATCGAGTAAAGAGTTTCTATTCATTTACATTTTACAAAAAAGATTAAACTTTTCTTAATCGAGTAAAGAGAAAGTTGACTGAGTGTTAATGCGATGGTACGTGGGTTCCTTGAAATATTTTTGTTAGTTTATCATTTTTTCTTCTTCAAATTATATAATTTCGACAACGTCAGATTTTACAAATATGTGGTTTATAGAC